ACAGTCACGGTTGGTAAGGAATAAAAGTCCTCTGGCTATACTTTATATATCTCTTCAGAGGGGGGAATATGATAGACAGCTAAGTTAGGTAGAAATACAGTAGGCAGTCAGACAGGCCTGGACCCTCGATGGAGTCAGTGCAGAAGAGAAGAATGCATCAGGACTGTGGTCGGAGGCCGTCTGCAGATTAAAGTCACAATGGCTAGTTTTACATAATTTCCTAAGGGATCAGTGGAGAACTGGGATTAATGGTCTCACCCTTTTGAGATTTCCCACTATCTCATTAGGGGTGGGCCGTCCTCTCCCACCTACTAAGACAGAGACCACTAAGACTAAGACCAAAGCTGCTAAGACTAAAGACAAGACTAAGGCTGTAGATTACTGACCAATGTTAATGATGTCACCCATGTACTCTTGCTACCATTAGATCAATATTACCTAAGCGACTATACTTGCAATCTTATTGTTTGTTCATAATTTTGACCCACACGGTACCCACATCATAAAACTTCCTTTGAGAGGTGGGTCATTGGCAACCCATTTGATATCCCTGCTGTCTCTCAGGGGCCATTGCTATTCCCTATTCCCTCATTCCTATTCCCCATTCCTTCTGTAACACATTTTCCTACTCTTAAAAAAGTACATATACATATATATTCTGGGCATGGTGGTACACACCTATAACCTCAGCACTTGGGTGGCTGGAGCAGGAGGATTGCCACAAGTTCAAGCCAACCAGGGCTACATAGTGAGTTCACAGCCAGCATGCACTGCATAATGAGACCCTGTCCCAAAAAGAGAGAGAAAGAGAGGGAGAGAAAGAGAGACAGTATGGTATTAACACAACAGAATAGCTAAGAGTCAAGACATAGACTCACACAAATGCAGTCAACTGTTCTTTGACAAGTCAATCAAAACAGTGAAGAAAGAATAGTCTTTTCAACACAGTGCTGTAACCATTGTATGAAAAAAAACTTAGGTAACAAACTTATACTTTCCACAAAAATTAACTCAAAATGAATTGTAGACCTAAATGTAAAACTAAAAACTATAAAGCATCTGGGAGAAAATACAAGAGAAAAATCAATGTGACCTTAGGTCTGATGATGAGCTTTAGATATAACATCAAAAATTTTACTCATGAAAGAAAAAAGTAAGTTAGACTTTATTAAAATCTTTTTCCCAGGGTAAGACAATGAAAAGACAAGCGGAAGGCCAGGCGAAAATAACTACACATTTATTTCTGTTGAAATATTTGAATCCAAAAATATACAAATAACCATTATAATAGTCACTCTTAAAGAAAACCCAATTTAAAGATGAGGAAAAGATCTGAGCTGACACCTCATCAAAGAAAATGTACAGAAAGCAAGCAAGCATTTGTCGTTATGGAACTGCAAATTTAAACAACGTGATGAACTGCAAATCTATTCAAATAGCTAAACTCCAAAAAACTGACAGCTCTGAACATTGATGAAGATAGAAAAACAGAACCATTTATTATGGGTGCGGAAGAAAAATTACACAGCCACTTTAGAAGACAGTATCTGGCAGCTTCTTCAGAGCTATATGTAGCTCATCAGCCCTTCTGACTGGCAACCACACACCTAGGGATTTATACAACCACCCTGAAACATATGTCCCCACAGAAACCTTCCTGTGACTGGAGCAGCTTTACTCATCAGTTGCTAAAAGCTAGAAGTAACCAAGACATCCTTCAACTGGCGACTGGACAAAGAAGCCATGCCACATCCATACAATGGAACATTATACACCAAGCAAAAAAAAATGAGCTAGTGTCCAGGATAAACATGTGGGGGTCAGGGGAAGCCCTGCATACAGACTTTTTAAAATCGCTACTGTCCACACAGCAAAGAACTGAGCCTCCTTCTGCTCCGCACAGAGGTGACTTGGCTGATTTAAAAGCAGAACTCGGGAGGGCAGAGTGGGACCTCAGCAGAGGTGAGCATATAGGTGTCTTGGTTACTTTTTTCTCATTGCTGAGACAAAATACCTGATGCCCAAAATTAAGAAAGGAAAGGTTTATTTAATGCACAGTTTGTGGAGGCTTCAGTCCATACTTGGCTGGCTCCAAGGCAGGGTGGTACATGGCAGAGGGCAACTGTTTATGGCGGCAGAAGACAGCAAAAGCAACAACAGCAAAGGGAGGAGCAGCAGCAAGCAGCCTCTTTCCCTTCTTTGCACTGTATGCAAACTACCCACCCCAGGGCGGGTGTAGCGCTCACATCCATAATCCGAGGGTCGGACCATGAATGGATCGTAAACTCTAGAAGCCCACCTCATGACTGCGTGAGGCTTTGGGGGGACATCCCTACACAAACTATGAAAATATGTGACATTGTAACAGAGAGTAGAAGTCAGCCATGGTGGTGCACTCCTGTCAGAGAAGTGAAGAATCACAAAGAGTTGGTCAGCGTCATGCAAAAGTCCTGCTGGAGTCTGATCAAGTCTCACTGGCCAAGGGTGTCACTCAGCTGTGCGTCCTGTGACCAAGTACCCGAGACCGACAGTGGTCGTATAGAAGGGAGGTCAGCGTGGCTTACGGTTTCCCGGCTTCCTTCTGCCGTCCAGACAATGCGGTGCGCACATGTGGAGCTACCACAGTGAGGCGGAGCTCCAGCTGGGGAAAGCAGAGCAACTGGAAGGGGTGGGACCGTGGTAGTCCTTCCAGGGCATGACCCAGTGGTCTCATTTTCTGCCACTAGACCCCTCCCTCCTAAAGGTTCCACCACTTCCAACAGCACCACAGGCTGGGAATCTGACCTTCAACACAGGGCCTTGGCGGGGGATACTTGCCAACTGCAGCTGGCAGTTTGTTCAGCGTTGTTATCTGCCTAGTGTCTTACAGTTCTCACAAAAGAACATGGAGGAGTCTGCAGTGCACTGCACAAAGTGGAAGACGCCAGGCTTCAAGAAGGCGACACACTGGGTGGTTGCAACTCCTGACAGCGTGCACAGGATGAAACTATGGGGACGGTGAGATCGAGGTCGTCAGAGGGTCCAGGAGCGGTGAGCAGGTGGTGCACAGGGGATTTGGGCTCAGATGGTGACACTGTACACAATAGCTCTATGGGACACTGTAATAGTGAGTACAAGCCAGCCAGGGTGGCACACACCTGTCATCCCAGCACTGGGAGGCTGAGACAGGAGGATCGCCACAAGTTCAAGGCCAGCCCGGGTTACCTAGTGAGTTCAAGGCCAGCTTGGACTACCTAACAAGGCTCTGTCTCAAACACCACAACCCCCAGAAAACAAAAAAAAGAAATTAGTGAACATATGGACAGTATGCATTTGTTAAAGCCCATGTGACACCACAGCACAAAGGGTAAACTTAACATATACAAAGTCACTGAGCAGGTTGGAGTTTCCCAGGCGGAAGTCAGAGTGTGAGAAAGCAATGCTAACAGTGTGACAGATGCACGCGCCCACCTTGCTGAGCCACCGCATTTATTAGGAACGCTGACAGCAAGTGAAGACGCGTGAAAGAACACACATACGGTAAAACCCTGTCCCCAAAGTTTAGAAAATGCACACTGTTTTCAACACACGCAAGATACTTACAAAAATGGACCACCCCCTAGGCCCCTCGGCACTGGGGTTCTACAGATGTGCGCTGTCGCATCCCTGGGTTTGTCACAAAGAGGTCAGCATCACAGCCCGACTCAGCCTAGTGCTAGGAAACAATCCCACTCGGACTCACTGTCACATACTGAGTAGCCGTGACAGATGTGCGCTGTCGCATCCCTGGGTTTGTCACAAAGAGGTCAGCATCACAGCCCGACTCAGCCTAGTGCTAGGAAACAATCCCACTCGGACTCACTGTCACATACTGAGTAGCCGTGGGGCTCCAAGGCAGCAGACTGTACACTGCTATTTGCCGGGGTCCTGCCCAGAGCACTCACAGTCCTGGAAAGACTGCTACCTGCTAAGAGAGAAGGTCCGCCATGCTGATCGGTCCCCTCTGGTGACAGCCAGACGTTTGGGGCTTGAGGCAGGAGGGGAGCCTGGGAAGAGCATGGTGTCCCCTCTTCCTGCTCCCCTGGTCACCAGGCTAGGGGAAGGAGGAAGAGGTGCTCTATAGCGGCAGGTGCAGGTGTCACTGAGATCTCCATGTTCGGGCTGGGGGTGTTGCTTCATCGTAGCGAGGGTGCTTAGCCTGCACAGTACCTAGCAGCCAAAATAAAAATTTTTAATATATAAGGTAAATGCTTCTTTTATCCTTTATGGGTGGGAAAAACAGCTCAGAGAGGTTGTGACATTGTCCCAAGGCAACACAGCCTAGAAGAGGTTTGAACCCAGGCCTACCTTCCTGCAGAGCACATGCCACTCCCCTTCCCACCAGCAGCCTGGCTGTCCCTGATCCACAGACCCTCCTCCTCCTCTCCAGATTGGACCCAGCTGGGCGGGGGGAACCGAGTACTTGCTGGAAGGACTGACACCCAGGGAAGGAGGGAGCTGAGGTCACCCTGACTCCAGCCTGGATTGCCTCTGCTTCCCAGGGCTCTTCTGCGCTGCTGTAAAACAGGGAAGGTGGGCCTGAGGTCCTGAGGGCGGAGGACAGTGGCCGGGTAGGGGTGACTGAAGGCACCCTCCAATCCTGCCTGGCTCCTGGTCAGGCCAGTATGCGGATGGAGAGGTTTGGAAAATCTTGATTCTTGAAGACCTAGAGGAGAAAGCTGAGCCCCAGAGAGATAAAGTAACCTGCCCAAGGCTGCACTACGGAACAGGCAAAGCTGAGATTCGAACCTGAGGCTCTGGCGAGTAGGGTCCAGGGGGCCACGGGTAGAACTGCCTCGGGCATCCCCGGGCATCCTCGGGAGCAGGCAGTGTGCGGCGACAGAGGGTGAGTTCCCCGTTCTTGGGGGTGTGCAAGCCCCAGCGGCGCTGTCAGGTTGAGCGGCCACGCGGGCCCAGCACGCAGCCGCGCCTTGCCAGGCCCGCTGCCCGCCCCGCGTCCGCTCGGCTCCGGCTCCGGCTCCGGGCTCCCGTGCTCCCGGGCGGGGCGCTGCTATTTCTGTCCCCGCGGCGGGAAGCAGGGGCGCCGGCGCCATTTCGCTCCCAGCCGGGAAGCACCATGAGCACCGCGGCCTTCCACGTGGCGGGGCTGCTGGAAAAGATGACATCCAGCGACAAGGACTTCAGGTGCGCGCTGGCCTCGCCAGACCCCGACCCTGATCCTGACCCCGACCCGGTCCTAACCCTGCTCTAGCCGGACCGCCTGCCCGGCCCCGCCCCCGGCCCCCGCCCCCGGTTCCCTTGCCGGGTCCTGACCCTGACCCTCACACTGACCCTGATCCTAGCCCTGACCCTAACCCAGGGGAGATGTCCCCAGCCCGGCTCCTTCCCTGGCCCTCACCCCAGCCCTGACCCCTGACCCTCACCCTCACCCAATCTTAACCCTCAACCTATTCCCACCCTCACCCTCGCCCTGTGCCTGAGCCTAACCCTGATGTTCACCCTGCCCCTGCCCCTGCCCCTGCCCCTGCCCCTGCCCCTGCCCCTGGTCCTGGTCCTGGTCCTGGTCCTGGTCATGAGCAGGGGCGGCTGAGTCGGGGCAGCCCTCCCTCTACCACTGCTGCCTTCCTCCGCCCCTGCCCAGCGTCCCCAACCCTCAGGGGCAGGGCAAAGAGCATGCTGGAAGCCTCCGGTCCAGCCTCTCCTCTGGGGTAAGCTGAGGCCCAGGCTAGAAAGGAGGGACCACAGGCCAGTGCTGAACCCTGGAGCTGGCAGAGGTCTTAGAGACCCCCTGGCCACAGCTCCTTAGGTACCACTTTGTCCCCATTTCACAGAAAGGGCTACTGAGGTTCCAAAGTGGGAAAGGCCCAGGTCCCACCAAGGAGCTGAACAGGGGAGACTTGGGTAAGGTCCAGGCAGCCTGGTGCAGAGACACTGTCCCACACCGATGGGTGGGGGACCCGGAACAACCAGTCCTCACCACCCCACAAGATCCCGGCTTCAGATGGCCCCCACCATGCCCGACTGTGAGACCACACTTATGTCACCCCGCCCTCAAGTCCCAAGGGCTGGGGGAGGCACAGGAGAGGGCCCCTGTGCAGGGCTGGGGGAAGGCCGGGCCAGGTGAGGCTGAGCTTCCGTGCACCCCGGAGATCGCCAGGCCCCACGCCTCGCCCCCTTTGGGCACCACTGGGGGCAGGGCTCCCATGCACACCATGTTTCTGCACTGTCACCTTTCACCCAGGAGCCTCGGCTCTCCTGGACCATAGGGACATCAGGGGACACAGAAGTAAGTGCTCAGGGGATTTCCATCCCCCTCCGCCTGGAGCCCAAGAAGCCCTTGCCTGTCCCTGAGAGTGGCCTGAGAACACTTAACACCACCGGGAGCCACAGAAATGGTGGCTATTTTTGGTGTCACAGCACCAGCTGTCCCAGAGCCCATGTGGTTCCAGGCTGAGCGGCCTCTAGAGTTTCTCTGGAACAACACTGACCCTGTGGCCGGAGGCTCTCGGATGGGACAGGGACACAGGGGGGGCTCCCGGAAGTGGGGAAAGCGTAGATCCTGTCCTGCCTCAGACACCAAATCGATTCCCTCCGGATCCTGCCAGTATTCCCACATCATTCCTGAAAGCACAGTCCTGTGGGTGGAGGAGCCAGGAGGCCTATCTGGGGAGATGGTGCTCCATCCAGTTTGCTGTGTGACCTTGGGGAGGTCCTGGAACCTCTCTGAGCATAGTATCCTCACCTGCCCCACCACTACCTCCAAAGGTGCTACAGGGTAGAGAGAAAGAAAATGCACAATCTACCATTGCAAAATAACACCAAAAAGAGGAAGCAGGTGCCCACAGTCACTCTACAAATAAGTGACATGGCTAAAATATTTACATAAAGTCTAATTTGACATGATAAGGCCAAACTTCTACAAAACCCTTCATGTGCACTCTGAGCTGCTCTCTGCAGGACTTTTTTTTTTTTTTTTTTTTTTTTTTGGTTTTTCTCCGGTACCGGGAACCAAACTCACGACCTTGCGCTTGCCAGGCAGGCGCTTTTGCCGCTGAGCTAAATCCCCAGCCCCTCTCTGCAGGACTTTGAGAGTTGGAGATGCTGAGCACATTTAGAAGGGACGATTTTCAAGTGTAAATTGCCTTAGGACTGTGGGACTCAAAGCACAGCCAAGGGCTGCCTCCCTCCATCCCTCTCCAAGCTAACTCTAACCCAAGCCCTAGCACTAACCCTAATCCTAACCCTAACCCTAACTCTCGCCCTATCCCAAGCCCTTGCCCTCTGTGGAGCTGTTCCTTGCTAAGCTCAGGTCCCAGTGCTAAACCGACGGCCAGCACCAGTGAGGGCGTAGTCCAGAGGGAAGGGCTCTCCTCAGGACACTGGCATTGCAGCACATGGGGTGTGTTCAGAAGGATCCTCTGTGGGAACCGGTTACCCTTAGGGGTGTGTGTGTGTGTGTGTGTGTGTGTGTGTGTGTGTGTGTGGCGGAGGGTGGGACAGAGCAGTCAGTCATTCCTCACTGGGACGCTGGAGCTAGGCTCTTGATAGATGAATAGGAGTTCCATGGGTAGAGAAGAAAGCAAGGCAGAAGGCCCGTTGAACCTCTAGGGCACTTCCTCAGGCTGAGCTGGGCCATGTGGACAGAAATACAGCTGGAAAGCAGTCTGCCTTCCCCAAGTGGACCCTCCCCAGAGCAGACCTAGGGACACGTGTGGCTACCTCAGGCCACGACTCACATCCCCTTGCTGCCTCCCTGTGTCCTGCTCCTCTCAGTGCCTGAGGCCAGCCCAGCTGCCAAAACAAACAGCTGCGATAGGCACAGGGGCCTGAATAGTGTCAGCGCACTAAGGGCCACCACGGCATGAGGCTAGGAGTGGCCTTTGCTGACACGGTGGTGGCAGAGAGCAGGGCGTCTCCTCACTCTGTCTCTGCTGAGGTCCTGCAGAGGGCAGGAGAGAGCTGAGCGGCCCTGCAGGGACAGGGCCTTCGGGGCAGTTCGGCCTCTGCTTGGGCTCTTCGCCGCAGGTGCGCTGTCCCAGGCCCACCTCACTGCCCCAGCTCCGTGGCCGGCCACAGATGTGTTAAGTGTCAGGCCACACAAAGCTTGACCCTAGTGCCTGCCCCCATCAGTGAGCCAGGGCTGGAGACCTGCTGGTCACCTACTGGCCACCTATTCCGAGTCCAGGGTCCATCAGTGTAGCCTGGGGCAGTGATTTCCAAGGCTGGGTCCTCCATCCTGAGTGTGGCCCGGGGCTTGTTAGAGTGTGACAGGGACTCCAGGCTGCAACCCAGGTCTCCATAGAGCTGCTCAAGCCGGCTCTGCCCACTTGCCCCTGCTACCCTGGCTGCTGCGCTGGCCCTGAGCACTCGCTATGTCTCTCTGCCCCCCGAGGGGTCCTGTGCTCACCCCACTCTCAGACAGGGACCCAGGCTGAGCCAGAGGCCCCCGCCCCGGCGCGCAGCGGGCTTGTCACGCGCGCCGGGCTGCCACCCTGTGAGTGTCGGCGTGGCTGTAGCCCTGTGGATCTCCTGGGTCCCCAGGTTCATGGCCACCAGCGACCTGATGGCGGAGCTGCAGAAAGACTCCATCCAGCTGGATGAAGACAGCGAGCGCAAGGTCGTGAAGATGCTGCTTCGGCTCCTGGACGACAAGAATGGCGAGGTGCAGAACCTGGCTGTGCGGTGGTGAGCGTCATCACGGGCTGGCGGGCGGCAGGAGGGTGGACAGAAGGACTGCCAGGCCCGGGGCACTCAGCAGCCCTGCCTTTGGGGACAGCCCTAGAGAGGACCTGCCGGCAGCTCCAGGGCGCCAGTGGGCTGGAGAGTGGCTTCAGCTGGCTTCTTCCAAAAATAGACCCTGAGGCAGGACTCAGGTCCCAGTTGATTCAGGAGGTGGTGATCCCAGGAAACAGAGGAAGGGCAAGAAAGAAGAGAGGCAGGCAAGGCCCAGTGGAAGACTGTTTTTTCTAGTTCAGGCTGGCTTGGAACTATGTAACCCAGGCTGGCCTCAAACTCACGGCAATCTTCCTGCCTCAGCCTCCTGAGTGCTGGGAAGACAGGCATGTGCCACCATGCCCACACGGAGGGATTAAGTTTTTAAATCCCCTGGGGAGGGGTTGGGGATATGGCTCATCGGCACAGTGCCCACGTGGCAAACGCAAGGTCATGAGTTTGATTCTTGGTACAAAAAAAAAAAGGAATATTAAATCCCCTGAGGACCTCTGGGACAGGACAGGAAGCTAGGGTGTGACTCTTCCGCCTATTTGGGGTCGTGGCTGCTAAGATGCGGGGTTATTTGTTTTCTGTCTCTTCTGGCCAGAGAAAGGCAAGGCTGCGGCACTGGCTGCTGGAAAGTGGTAAGGGCTGGGGACGGGGCAGCGGGGTGCACAAGAGTGAGGAACTGCAGCTTGCACCTGAAGGACTCCAGCCTCTGAGAGCCCCTCGCTAAGGGTGGAGGGCTCAGCTGTGACTGCACATTAAAATCACCTGCGGAGTTAAAACGTCCCACTGGGCCGGTTCTGGGAGGCAGAGGCAGGAGGATAACAACTTGCCACTTAGTGAGACCCTGTCTCAAAAAACAAAGGGCTGGGGATATAGCTCAGGGCAAAGGCCCTCAGTTCAGTTCCTAGTACTAAAAATAAAAAGTCCCCCCACTGAGGCACCCAAAACCAGGTATTTCAGACTGCCGAGGGTGGTGCCCAGTGGCAGCAGTGTGTGGCTGGGAGTCAGGGAGTCTGATGCGGCCCTTTTCGCTGCCGCCGATGCCCAGGACCAGGCTCCAAGGTGTCAGCATAGGCACTTGATGATCAGTACCAGTGTCCATGGGGATTGGCCAGAGCCACACATCCTCAGCTCCCAGTAGGCATGAGGACTGCAGGGCAGGGCAAATGGGCCATCAGATGCCATGCTGGGTGCAGGATGAGGCGTGGGCAGAGCACAGCGTCCCTACTGAGCAGGGCCCTTTCCTCCAACTGTGTGACCATGGAGCACCGGGTCCAGAAGCAGCTGGCTCAGGCGCCTCCCTCCTGCCCAGCCTGGGTCCGCTGGTGGGCAAGGTCAAGGAGTGCCAAGTGGAGACCATCGTGGACGCCCTCTGTGCCAACATGCGGTCCGACAAGGAGCAGCTCCGGGACATTGCTGGCATCGGCCTCAAGACTGTGCTGTCGGAGCTGCCCCCTGCAGCCACAGGTACCCAGGCCCCAGCACTGGGCACGATGCTCTTTGCCCCAGCCTATGGTTAAAAAAAACATGCTCAGGGCAGTGACAGTACTGACCCAAGGCGCCTCAGCTGGGAGGTGGCATCGACCCAGATCAATTTAAATCCACGGCTGTGTCTGCTAGGAAGGCTTTGAGCTGCTCAGAATGGTGGTTTGAAGAAGCAACATGAGCTGGGCAGGGTGGTGCACACCTGTAATCCCAGCACGTGGGAGGCTGAGGCAGGAGGATCACTGTGAGGTTGAGGCCACCCCGGGCTACAATAGCAAGACCAAGGTCACGGTCACGGGGGAGAGGAGGAGAAGCAACATGATCTCTGGAGGGATCAGCTGCCCTATTTTTTAAAATAGCAATTCACTTAGCAGCTCAACATTGATAGTCTGAGGTCCAAACCCACCTCTCCTCCCCTTTATGAGGAAAGAGCAGCCCCCAGAAGACTCCTGTGCTCCCAGCCTGGTGGGAGGCCGGTGAGGCGGGTGGCTCTCCCCTTGCCCAGGAGACGTGCACAAGGAAGAAGGGCCAGGGTGGGACCAAGGCCACTCACCGCTCTGCCACCCATGCCAGCTCCCCCGCTCTCTCCTGTGGCTGGTCAGACTCTGGGTCACACCTGGGGCCACCAGGGTCCCCTGCTTGGATCTGCAAGACTCCTCGAAGTATGGGGTTTGGGAACACAGCTGGAGGGGAGGCCGGAGAAGTCAGCCCGGGTCCTCACTGGTCCACCTTGTGCCGGGCGCAGGCTCCGGGCTGGCCACCAGTGTGTGCCGGAAGGTCACGGGCCAGCTCACCAGTGCCATCGCCCAGCAGGAGGATGTGGCGGTGCAGCTGGAAGCCCTGGACATCCTGTCGGACATGCTCAGCAGGTGAGGGGTGGGGGATTTGGATGCACGCAGCCAGCGCCTCCCCGGGGCACATTTCCCCTCAGCCCCGAGGAATCACTCAGTGGTCGCCTCTGAACAGGCTCTGGGAGGTAGTGTGACCAGCCCAAGGTCACACCGCCAGCAAAACCTCCCACCCTGAGCATCGGCTCAGTAATGCACGGATCTAGGGTCGGCAGAGGCAGAGACTCAGGGTGATCCTGGCTCTATTGCCAGTGGGGGGAGCACGGAGGGTATGGTGGGCAGTGCCACCTGCAGCATTGGCTTCACCATGACTCCCTGGGCATGCGTCTTGGGGCCTCCACATAGCCCTGTCACTATTCGGTGCACAGGGAACCACACAAGTGAGCCCGAGAGAGAGAGGTCTGGGCTCTCTGTCTCAGAGGGACGACCGTGCCCAAGGCTGGGGCAGGGGACACAGCTATGAGGCCCACAGAGGCGGCCACCTGGCGTCTGAGCTTCTTAGGCTTAGGGCTCAGTGTACCAACGGGGCAGAGGCCAGACCTGGGAACATAGCTGTCAGGCCCCGAGGCCCTGGCAGGGAGCACGGCTGGACGGGCACTGACGCCCGGATTCCCATAGACTGGGCGCTCCGCTGAGCTCCTTCCACGCCAGTCTGCTGCACTGCCTGCTGCCCCAGCTGAGCAGCCCGCGCCTGGCTGTGCGCAAGCGGGCGGTCGTCGCGCTTGGACACCTGGCGGCCACCTGCAACGCCGACCTCTTCGCGGAGCTCGTCGACCACCTGCTGGAGCGGCTGCCCGGCCAGCGCACGCCCGCCGGCTCCGCCGCGCTCCGCACACTGGTGCAGTGCGTGGGCAGCGTGGGACGCCAGGCGGGACACCGGCTTGGTGAGGGGCGGGGCGACACGGGGGGCGGGCTCCGGGGCGGGGCTGCACTGCTTGGGGCGTGGCCACCGACTGGCGTGGGGAGGGGCAAGCTTCGGGGACGGAAGATAAGGGCGGGGTCTGGACCAGTGCTTGGGCGGGTCTAAGAGGGTGTCGGAGGGGCGGGGGGGTCCAGCGCAATCCCACATTGACCTTGGTCCCCACCTTTGGCGGCGGGAAGGGTGCTGATCCATCACTTCTGTGGCCTGGGAGATTCACACATAACTCATTAGAGGTCTGGCAGCTGGATCTTTACATGAAATAGATTCTGCTCGCCTACTTTGACAGACACTTTAATAACAACCCGTGAGCCACTTTTGCATTTTCTTAAGCTTTATTTGGGAATACTGCACCTAAAATTAGCTCCCTATTTAGTGTACATTCAATGTATTTTGACCCTGTCATGCTCTTGTGAAACTCCCGCCATAGACCTATCAGAGCATCCCCTCACCCCAAGCATCCCGGGTTCCCTGGGGAAAGCCCAGCCTCTCTTCCCCTGGCCTGTGTGCTGAGTGCTGGGTGTGAGTGCAGAGACTGCCCCCTGCTGGGCACATCTGCCCACAGCCTCAGCCAACCCGCAGGCACCCATTGCCAGGAAAAAGGCTGCAAGCCTGGGACAGGGCTCAGGGTGCTAAGCAGGAGATCCAGGGGCCCAAAGTTGAGACCACAGAGAGTGCTGGGGTCTCCAGGTCGGTGTGCTCTTCCCCAGGGTGCATCAGGGAAGGATACAGGTAGGACCCTGCCTCCGGTCTCTCCCTCTGCATGTGGGGGCCTAGGACCCAGTTCAGGAGAGGGGCCGAAGCCACATGGAGAGGTTCCACAGCAGAGGTGCTCACTGATGTCTAGGCTCCCTGTCACCTGTGTTCACTGTCCTCACAGAATTTAGACTCAGGCTCTGGATCCAGCGCTCGCCCAGCCCCCAAAACAGATCAGTAGATGAGTCAAGGAGGCCCTGGCCCAGGCCCCAAGTCCTGTGACACACGGTGACAGTCAGGGCTGGACCTGCGTCTACGGCCAGAGCCTCCTTGCAGAGTCTGCTCTGGCCAGGATGGCAGGGATGGGGGCCACAGGGAGGGCCGAGGGCTGCAGGGGCTGAGGCCCATGAGCTGGGGACTCTGGAGTGTCCTGCCCAGCCCCATGCCCTGCCTGGCCTGCAGGGCCCCACCTGGACCGCCTGGTGCCGCTGCTGGAGGAGTTCTGTGGCCTGGAAGACGACGAGCTCCGAGAGTCCTGCCTGCAGGCCTGTGAGGCTTTCCTGAGGAAGTAGGTGCCCCAAGCCCTGGAGGATGGAAGTGGGGGGACAGCAGTATTCCCACCCCGCCTGGCCCAGCAGAGCCTCCTCTGCCCTCCAACAGGTGCCCCAAGGAGATGGGGCCCCACGTGCCCAGCGTGACCAAACTTTGCCTCCAGTACCTGAAGCACGACCCCAACTACAACTACAACAGTGACGAGGATGAGGAGCAGATGGAGACAGAGGACAGCGAGTCCAGTGAGCAAGGTCGGTGAGGACTGTCACGGGGCTGGAGGGGGTGGTGGGCCCAGCCTTCCGGCGATCCCCCAGCCAAAGACGGGGCCCCATCAGGGCCATCGGATGCCAGCCTCCCTGGCTGCCCAGGTCACAGTACAGAATGATGCCACACCCTCAAGGTCCAGGGCTTCCCCATCCACATCTGCGTCCACGTGTTCAGTGCCTGCAGGGTGAAAGTGCTCGAGATTTTGTTTGTCTGCAGTGAACACGTCCAGGCTTTTTTTCTGTCTGTCATTATTCCCTAAGTAACATAGTACATGGCTATATGTGTGGCATTACATTGTGTTAGGCACTGGATGATTGAAATACACAGTGAACGTTTAAGTTTAAAATTTTTATTACAGTAAAAGTCACACTACAATGAATCCTCCTCAAAATCCTCCCCTCACTTGGAACACACTGATCTCATCGTCCTTGACTCTTTCTGAAGCGGTTATGGAAGTCCAGTTTCATGGGGAGCTTTAGTTGTGCTATTGTGTTTGCCTCGATATCCTGAATTGATTCAAAACATTGACTTTTTGAGGTCATTTTGACTTGGGAAAGAACCAGAAGTTGTGCAGTGTCACACCCAGTAGATAGATGGATGAGGACAGTGTCGTATTTTACAAATCTTTCTGTTGGATGGTACTTGGCAGCAGCATTCACCGTATTTTTGATCCCACCTGGTAAAGAAGACTTCCAGAACTGCTTTAGCAGGTGGCGAGGAGGATGAGATAAGTGTTCTGAGTGAGGGGGAGTATCCTGAGGGGGATTAATGACAACGTGCCTTTTACTGTAATATGCTTAAGAAAAAAAACCTTAAGCATTCACCATGTTTTTGGATCACACCTCATAACTCAATTTAGAGGAGCCTTAAAGTACTCAGGAGGATGTACATGGGTTATTTGCACGCATTAAGCCATTTTACAGAAGGGACTTGAGCTCCTCAGATTTTGTTATTGAGGAGGTTCAGGGACCAGCCCTTGGGGGTACCAAGGGCGACTGTCACTGCTGTCACTTGGTGTGCTGGGCTCTTCTGTTCCGTGCTCTGCACAATGGCTAAGCACCTGTTGTGATTATCACACAAGATGGCGCCTTAATCCAGGAGAGGGAGGTGCCGTGGGGGACAGACAGGCATGACGGGAGAGTCTGGGTGGGGTCCCTCCGGTGCTGTGGTCCTGTCACTCATACAGGTGTCGGGGCAGAGATGCCCCAAGCCTAGAAGTCAGCGTACAGGTGGGGAGAGGGATTTAGGGCCTCGTGGTAGGAGACAAGGGTGGGCAGGCAGCTGGAGCCATGGATGTCAAGCCAGGGAATGTGGAGGTTTTCTTGCCAGTCATAGGGAGCCATGGACATTTCTTCTAGGGTGGCACAGTGTGGAGGGAACGGCCTGCTGCAGCACGTCCAGACTTGTGTGCCCTGAGTGTTTATCGCCCTCAAAGCGGCCAAGGGTGCTCCTTGGTGTTATGTGTGTCTCCAAGTGATCCGAGTGGGCTTCCTTGGCCTGCATCTCAGCGCTGCAGTCTTAGCCGTATGCCCTGAGCAGATGTCTTGCCCTCTCTGAGCTCCATCTTGCCATCTGTGAAGTGAGCCCAGCAGCACCTTCCTTTCTGAGGTGCTCTTGTTCTCAGGGGAGCTTTAGAGTAGAAAACCACACAGAGCCAGGCCTGGTGGCACACGCCTGTCATCCCAGCATTTGGGAGGCTGAGGCAGGAGGATCACCTTGAATTCAAGGCCAGTCTGAGCTACATAGTGAGTCCAAGGCCAGCCTGGACTACACAGTGAGATCTTATCTTTAAAAACAGAAACAAAAACCACAAGACCTGGCTTTTCCTTATTAGTCCTGCTTGGAAGCAGTGTGCTGTGAGGTTGGGGTGCCTGGTGCCACCCCGGCACACAGTCAGGGTCTGTGCCAAGGTAGTGTAGGTACAGATGGCGAGCCGTCCCCCGCCCCCAAGCCACAGACCTCCTGTCTCCTTCCCGCCAGAGACCGAGGATGAGTACAGCGACGATGATGACATGAGCTGGAAGGTACGGCGGGCGGCGGCCAAGTGCTTGGCAGCCCTGCTGGGCTCGAGGCCTGACCTACTGCCCGAGCTGCACCACAGCCTGGCGCCGGCGCTCGTGCACAGATTCCGCGAGCGAGAGGACAATGTCAAGGCCGACGTGTTTGCTGCCTACATCGTGCTGCTGCGGCAGATTCGGCCGCCTCAGGGCTGGTCAGAGGCGGTGAAGGAGCCCACTCCCGCAGGCAGCAGCCTCCAGGTGCTGCGAGGACAGGTGGGCCGGTTGCTGTCACCTCTGTCCCTTAGCCTGGCCCCCTTCCTGGCCTCCCCTCCCCCGCTGACTTGTGCCACCCACAGTCTGGAGAACAAGTAGGTCCTGTCCAGGCATGAGATGGGCTCCCTTCACTTGACAGCCAGCGGAAGTCCCAGGAGGGGACAGCGGTAGCCAGGACACATGAAAAAGCTCGCACCCTTGAGGATGGTCATTGTGGGGCAAGGTGGGGGCAGCAAGAGGACTTTGCAGCTGCCCAGGGATGGGAGCCAGCACTTGGGCCCAGTGGTCGAGGCAAGACAGAGGAAGTGGGTTTCGGGTGGAATCACGGGCCTTGCTGGTGGCTGAATGTTCCCAGGATAGAGAGGGTCTCATGATTTCCTGCTTCTGGTGACAGCAGGAAGTGTGGTTCCCTGGGGTGGGGCCCATCGAGACTGCACAGTTATGTTTGAGGTCCTCACAAGAGGCTGTAACAAAATCACAAGGCCTGAGTGCTTCATGAGGAAATGGCTCGGTTCAGCTCAGGGCTGGGAGACAGACGTCCAAGAAGCCTGGTATGGCTCCGGTGAGGACTCCCTGGCCACATCACACCATGGTGGTGGCAGCAAGGCCAGAATGTGTACAGAGGGGAGGCCACATAGCGAGGCCTCAGTCAGAGTTTGGGGCGGCCCAGGCTTGCTCAGAACTTCCCAGCACCTCCCCGCTCCCGTGGCTCCTAGAGCTCCACCACCCAGGTCACACCCTGCACGGGGCCAAACAGCACCCAGGAGCCTTGGGGGACATGAAGCGCGCCACGAGCCCACATCGAACTGGCTAGAGGTGCCGACTGCGCGTCCCAGGTCTCAGATTCAAAAGGACCCTGGGGGAGAGAATCAAGCTGAGGAGGGGACGGGGTGTGGTGGGACTGGCCAGGCCCCTCCCACTGGCACAGTGGTGGCAGTGACAGCCAGACTGCCTGGGTGACCCAGGCCTGTCCCTTTATCTCTGTTCGTATAAGCCAGGTGCTGGAATTCCTGTCACGGAGTCCTAATCGAGTGTCCTGCTCAGAAGGAGCGCTCAGAGCGCCCTCCCTGGGGATGCCTGGGCAAGCCCGGGAGTGCGGAGGATTCCCTGACGGCCCCCGCCCCTGTCCCCCGCCTGCTCACAGGTGTCCCTGGGTGGCCCTGACTTCCGCTCCCATCCACAGGTACCCCTGGTGATCAAGGCCCTGCAGCGGCAGCTGAAAGACCGCAGTGCCCGGGTACGCCAGGGCTGCTTCAACCTCCTGGCAGAGCTGGCAGGCGTCCTCCCGGGGAGCCTGGCCGAGCACATGCCCGTGTTAGTGTCAGGTGAGCCAGGCCTGCGGGGTTAGCTATCCCAGAAGCCTAGGCCCCATCCCAGGCTGACACAGGCCCCCCCTTGCTTCCCTCTGTGCTGGCCACTGGCCAAACAGTAAGCACTTAGAAACATTTACCTCAGGGATGAGGTGCTTCGGTCTGGCCCCTCAGGGGGCCATCGTGGGTCCCCAGCCCTGTGATCTCATCTCCACCCCACAGGCATCATCTTCTCACTGGCTGACCGCTCCAGCTCCTCCACCATCCGGATGGATGCCCTGACCTTCCTGCAGGGGCTGCTGGGCACAGAACCAGCTGAGGCCTTCCACCCCCACCTGCCCATCCTCTTGCCACCAGTGATGGCCTGCGTGGCCGACCCTTTCTATAAGATCGCGGCCGAGGCCCTGCTGGTGCTCCAAGAGCTGGTGCGTGTGCTATGGCCACTGGGCAAGCCTCGGGTGCTGGACCCTGCGCCCTACGTGGCAGAGATGTCTGAGGCCACGCTGGTACGGCTCCGTGCCACCGACCTGGACCAAGAGGTGAAGGAGCGGGCCATATCCTGTGTGGGCCACCTCGTAGGCCACCTGGGTGACCAGCTTGGGGACACCTTGCAGCCCACACTCTTGCTCCTCATTGACCGCCTGCGAAACGAAATCACTCGGCTGCCTGCCGTCAAGGCGTTGACCCTGGTGGCTGCGTCCCCACTGCAGCTTGACCTGCGGCCCATCCTTGCCGAGGTGCTGCCCGTTCTGGCTTCATTCTTGCGCAAGAACCAGCGGGCATTGCGACTGGCCACACTGGCCGCTCTGGATGCCCTGGCCCAGGGTCAGGGCCGTGGCCTCCCACCGTCTGCTGTACGGACCGTGCTGGCCGAGCTGCCTGCCCTGGTCAGCGAGAGCGACATGCACGTGGCCCAGCTGGCCGTGGACTTTCTGGCCACCGTGACCCCGGTCCAGCCGGCCTGCCTGGCGGAGGTGAGCGGCACCGTGCTGGCTGAGCTCCTGCGGCTGCTGCGCTCTCCGCTGCTGCCGGCCAGCGTGCTGGTGGCTGCCGAGGGCTTCCTGCAGGAACTGGTGGGGACCCGCCCCCCATGCGTGGCCTACACCGAGCTCCTCAGCCTGCTCACTGCGCCTGTGTACGAGCAGGCTGGGGATGGCGGACCAGCCTTGCACAAGCAGGTGTTCCACTCGCTGGCCCGCTGCGTGGCTGCCCTCTCGGCTGCCTGTCCCCAGGAGGCAGCGGGCACAGCCAACCGCCTGGTCAGGGACGCCAGGTCGCCACACTCCAGCACAGGGGTCAAGGTGCTGGCCTTCCTGTCGCTGGCTGAGGTGGGCCAGGTGGCCGGGCCAGGCCCCCAGCGCGAGCTGAAGGCTGTGCTGCTAGAAGCCCTGGGGTCACCCAGCGAGGACGTGCGGGCCGCAGCCTCCTATGCACTGGGTCGTGTGGGCGCCAGGAACCTGCCCGACTTCCTGCCGTTCCTGCTGGCGCAGATTGAGGCCGAGCCTCGGCGCCAGTACCTGCTGCTACAGGCGCTTCGGGAAGCGCTGGGGGCTGCGCCACCTGACGGCCTGAAGCCCTATGCTGAGGACGTCTGGACGCTGCTCTTCCAGCGCTGTGAGAGCACCGAGGAGGGCACCCGGGGCGTGGTGGCCGAGTGCATCGGGAAGCTGGTGCTTGTGAACCCCTCATTCCTCCTGCCCCGCTTGCAGAAGCAGCTCACAGCAGGTAGGCACAGCCCACAGTGGCCCAGCACCATTAGCTGCTTCCAGGCCCTGGGTGTGAGGGTTACAGGGTCCACACGTCCAGACCCAGGGGCCTCTAGAGTAGAGGGCACAATGTCCTGCTGTGTCCCTACTGCAAACACAGCCAGCCATCTGTATCCGGGACCTGCTCTGCAGAGTCCACTGCTGTGTGAGGTGCCGCATGTGAGAAGCCGGTGCCATGGGTGGTGAACAGAATTCCCCAATAGTCAAGGAACTGATAAAAGTTAAGCATTTGTGTTGCACTGCAAGAGAGCAGTGGAAGGTTCAAGAGGACTGCGTGGTCGGGGAAGAGGCTGAGACTTTCATATTTGAATTTAACCTGAAGAGAGCTTTGGAACCATCATCCCAGAAGCACTATCATCAGGTCACAGTGGCTCTTGTCACGGGTCTCAGGTCTGAGGGGTAGCCAGGTGTGGTTGAACACTAAGTGATGTTTCCTTCACTAGAATTCAGTGCTCCTCATGCTAAAAAAAAAAAAAAAAAAAAAAAAAAAAACAGAAAACAAAAAATGAAACAAAGCAAAACAACAGTTGTTCCAAGTAGAATTAATTAACAAATGTTTATAGGCTACTTAGGGTTAGTGATCCAGGGAGCCAGAATTGTATATGTATTTGTAGTTGAATGGAAATTTTGACCTGCTGCTGGGAGAGGGGAGGGAATGATATTCTGTAAGACGTGACAAGTGGTTGGATCACCTCCTGAGGGATGCTGCCTTGGCCTACACAGCTCTTGAAGTTCCCAGGGGAAGGACAATGAGAGGATGGAGAAATAAAGATAAGAAACAGAAAGCTGAGGTCAGGTGGAGCCCACTCTAGACGGGAGGAGAGGAACTGGTTGACCACCGTAGCACGTTTGTTTATACATTGGCAGGTTGGTGTTACATGACTACTTTGCCTAGCAACCCATGGCTTGGATTGTCTCAGGGCTTGGTTGTTCTCTGGACTGAAGCAGCTTGTTCACATGGCTTGGGCACTCTTTGTTCTCTGACCAGCCTTGCCTCACCCCCATACATGTGACCGATTTCCAGCTTCAGCGGCTCCCTACGGGATGCATAGTTCTTGAGTGCAGTGTACAAGGTGAAAAGTTGTTTTTTTGTTTTTAAGGTGGAAAGTTAATATTCCATAGCCTCACCACTCAGCTGCAGTTCAGCCTTTAAAGAAAAAATGGTAAAATAACCATGAATCCCCATGCTGACCAACCTCAGTTGAAATATGTGCCTGGCTAGGCATGGTGGTGCACACCTGTCATCCCAGCACTAGAGAGACGAGCCAGGATCCTGGTGAGTTTAAGGCCAGCTTGGGCTACATAGTGAGGTAAGGGCAACCTGGACTACATAGCAAGATCTAGTATCAAAAAAAAAATTGAGTCTGTGCCAAACACGTGGAGAGTTTCTCTTATCTTCATTCCCTAAGTACAGCTGCTGACACTCACGTATCAACACCCATCTAGACGTGATTGATAGCACACAGGAGGGTGTGCTACAGTGTTACTCTGTATATAGAAGGGCCCTGAGTAATGCTGGTTTACGTAAATGCAGAGGGTCCTGGAGCCATCCCCGGAGGGTTCCATGGGTGGGCCAGACAGCTAAATGCGAATGCCATTGTCGTTGTCCTTGGTGAGGACAGCAGCTGAGTGCTACAGAGGAGGTCAGTCTCTGCAGCTCTCTGGCTAGAGGCCAAAGCTGGCAGAGGGACAGCACTCTGGGGTCGGCCTGCTCCTTGCCAGGTGTCAGTGCGGCCTGGGATTTCGGGACACACCATGGGCTCTGGAGAGGGCCGGACTAGGGGAGTCATGCGGTGTTGTCACAGAGGGCACACAGTGGGGGTGTTTGGCCCTCCCCAGGGAGAAGCAGCAGGTGGCCCAGGGTTCTTGCACCTTGAAAGCTGCAGGACCAGGGCTGTGTTGCTGGACACAGGCGGGCACAGTATGGCACCTAATGGATGCTGGGTGAATCAAAGCCTCCTGTGGACACCATGGCTACTATCCAGGCCTGCAGAGGTTTCTGGCTTTGCAAGGTGCAGTTGTTTGATCCTGGTCATGCTGTGGATGATGTTGTGGGTCTCATAGCACAGGGACCCCCATAGCAGGGGTCTTGGGAGGAGGTGGGGCTCTGCTTCTCTCTGATTCCTGGCTGTCCCATGCCCACTGCAAGCAAGCTGCCGGCCACCTTGCCTTTCCACCACTGCCCGTAGAGGCCCAGAGGCAGGGCGGGTGGACCATCCAGCAGGCAACGGACTCCCGTGGCTCTGTCTGCAACGCCGCCCACCTGGGCCTCATCCTCGCTCCCTGCTCATGTCTTTCCATTCACTGGAACCCTGTGTGCAACTCAGAGCAGACTGAGAGACACGGGAGGTTCCGTCACTAAGGACGTGAACGCCCTTCCCGTCCTTCAGCTCCCCCGCTCGGAGCACCAAAGCAGACAGAAGCAAGCTCATCCCCAGGGGGCACGGGGCCGAGGACTGCCATCTGTTGGACAGCCTGTGCACAGCAGGCTGAGCACACAGCCAGGCCGATGAAGGAGGGCAAAGGGGGAGGAGCCCTGGGTCTGCTGTGTGGCCTCAAATGTGAACCAACCCTCTCTGAGTCTCTCATCCTCCAGGGTAAAATACAGAGGAATTACACTTCTCATTGTTTAAATTGACATATTACTACTAATTAAGCAAGCCATCATCAGGATTATCAAAAAGATTAATAGATAATGCATCTGAAAAATATAGTGTAGTCTTCATATTCCAAAGGAAGGTCCCAGAGGGACGCTGCCCTGGTCATGCGGGTCTGTGCAAATCCATCATATTGGGCACTTCCATCTCTAAGGCACAGGACAGGGCAGTCCCAATTCCAACCCATAATCATTGGCCTCACAACTAACCCTGAACCTACCCTAACCCTAACCCTTAACCTACCCTGACACTAACCCAAATCCTTAACCCTAACTCTACACTTAACCCTAACCCCTAACCGTAACCCTATTCCTAACCCCACCCCCGCTGCGCTGTGCGCCACCTCCGCCCCGCAGGTCAGCCGCACACCCGGAGCACCGTCATCACAGCAGTCAAGTTCCTCATCTCGGACCAGCCGCACCCCATCGACCCCCTCCTGAAGACTTTTGTTGGTGGGTGCTCCCCTGCCGCTTTCCTGTCCCTTGGCCCTCCAGCTGCCCCAGGCCCCTCACACGGCAGCCACAGTGCAGGGTGGGCAGCAGGCCGGCCTTAAAGTGCTGGGCAGACCGGGCGGGCCCTTCTCTCCGCTGAGCCTCATCTCCTCATCCACCCAATGGGCATGAGAAACTCCTGGGAGGTCACCATGGAGACCCCTGGGGCTTCACGTGGAGGTGCTCCGGAAGCAGAAAACCCACTGACCCTGGGATCCTGAGGGCCCTGAAGCCTGCAGCCTGCGGGCTGTCACTGGGCTGTCCGGGAAACTGTGCCTCGCAGCCTCACAGGCGGCCCCAGCAGGGATGCCACGCTGTAGTGTTCCCTGGCTGAGGTTTGAATCCTGGCTCTGCCATTCCCTGGCTCTACGAGTCTGGACAGTAATCTTCCCATTAGCTGTAAAAGCTCGTTGCTTGTCCCCCTGCTGGGGGCTGTGGGAGTCTGGAGGTCAGCCTGGCAGAGGTGACCCACCCTGTATTGGAGGTCCTGTCCTGCAGCCTCGGCGGCACGGCCAGCGGCAGCTTTAGTGGTGTCCTGACCCTCTGTCTCCATCTTGACCAAGCTGCCCGGTGGGTGCTGGCACCCCTCAGTTCCCAGGGTATTCCAGGTTTGCTTTAATGTGTTGCTGTTTGTTCATTTTGTTATGTTTTATTTTTTGAGACAGGATCTCACTATGTAGTCTAGGGACTCCTCAAACTCATGGCGGTCCTCCTGCCTCAGCCTCCCAGAGTGCTGGGATGATAGGTGTGTGACATCATGCCCGGCTAACTGCTCCTGTCCTTCCTCTGAGCCAGGCACTCTGCTCTGTGCCTTATAGACAGCACCATATCCTGAATCCTAAACATAGTCTTACCATGTAGGTGCTGTGATTCTCCCCAATTTACAGATGAGAACTCGGAGGCTCCACACAGCCCATGGTCATGTGGGGAAGTGAGATTGCAGGCTGGGCGTCCTGAACTCTGAGGGCTTTGAGTGTGACTGCGCCAGGCACAGAGCAGCTGTGGGAAGGATGGGTGCCGGCACAGCAGGGCAAGAGGTGCTTGGCTGTGCTCCTCAGCCTCTTTGTCCCACAGGGGACTTCATGGAGAGCCTGCGGGACCCGGACCTGAGTGTGCGCCGCGCCACTCTGGCCTTCTTCAACTCAGCAGTGCACAATAAGCCCTCGCTGGTTCGGGACCTGCTGGATGCCATCTTGCCGCTCCTCTACCAGGAGACCAAGGTCCGCCGGGACCTCATCCGAGAGGTGCGGGCACCCGGGGCAGGTCCCGCCGCCTCATCCCGACTGTGTGCCCCAGCCAGGGAACCCGAGCCTCTCTGAACCTCTGTCTCTTCTTAGGACATCACGGAGGAAACAGTCCTGCCTGCATCTGAATTAGTCCCCTCCCTGTCTCTGGGACACAATACCCGACCCCACAATTTAAGGACAGTTTTAATTGTTCACAGTTTCAGGGATGCAGTCCGTGGCTGGCTGCTCCGAGGCAGGAACATCATGGCAGCAGGGCGAGGGAGAAGGATATGCCTAGTTCACCACAGCCGAGAAGCAGAGGAGAGAACAGCACCAGAGGGGAAGGTGCAGGGACCCCAAGGAAGCTGGGTGTGGTGGTGCACACCTGTACTCCCAGCACCCTGGGAGGCTGAGGCAGGAGGATCACAAGTTTCAGCCCAGTCTGGCTCCCACCCCCAGGGATCCCCCAAAACGCTATCAATTATCAAGTTCTGAGCATGGCTCTGTTGTCACTGTCACTACTGCAATCCTGTGAGGGAAAGGGCACTGCAGGCCAAGCAAAGGCCGGGAGACCTATGCATGCATGGGCCACCCAGGCAGACTCATGTTGACAGAGGTGACCCAGCCCTGGCCGTGGTCCTAGCCCCGTGGTTTTCCCATAGGTGGAGATGGGGCCCTTTAAGCACACAGTGGACGACGGGCTCGATGTGCGCAAGGCGGCCTTCGAGTGCATGTACTCCCTGCTCGAGAGCTGCCTGGGCCAGCTGGACGTGAGTGAGTTCCTGAGCCACGTGGAGGATGGGCTGAAGGACCACTACGACATCCGGGTAGGACCCGAGCCGGCCCGGTCCGCCCCCTCCCTCCCCTCCCGTCCCTTGGTGCTGGCACAGGGCCTGCGTCACCCACAGGCTGCTCTGCACAGCTCCCTGGGGTCGGGAGAAGCCAGCAGCCCAAGAGTCGCCGCCGTGGCAGTGGTGGTGGCGGCGGGGTCACCACCTGAGGACGAAGGCTGGCTCTGGAAGTTGGGGCCATTTTCTCACCTGTAGGGTGAGGCCGGGAGAGGGGAGCACCGGGAAGATTGAAGTTCCTTCATTTCTTTAAATTTTACACTTCACTCACCCGTATAACAAGAATCAGTGCTTTCTTACAGGGGCAGGGCTTGAACCCAGGGCCTGGCCCATGATAGGCAGGCATTGTACCACTGAGCTACACCCCAGCCCCTTTTCTGCTTTATCTTTATGGTAAATACACACAATGGTCCTGCCTCGGGAAACAAACCAACAATATTGCAAATGTTACCATTCTATTGGTTTTGTTTTGTTTTGTTTTCTTTCCGGTACCGGGAATTGAACTCACGACCTTGTGCTTGCCAGGCAGGCGCTGTGCCCCTGAGCTAAATCCCCAGCCCAGCAAATGTTACCATTCTAACCTTTTGTTGACGCTGGGGATGGACCACGTGGAGCAGGCAAAGCAGTCCACATGAGGCACGTCCCAGCCCCGTTTAGCGACATTAAACCACTCCCTGATGCCGTCCTCCCTCCTGGCAGATGCTGACCTTCATCTTGCTGGCTCGGCTGGCAACGCTGTGCCCAGCGCCCGTTCTGCAGAGAGTGGACCGGCTCATCGAGCCGCTGCGGGCCACCTGTGCTGCCAAGGTAAGGCCTAGGGCTGCCCGGTGCCCAGGGTGTGGTGGCTGCCGTCACCCCCACTGAGGACGCCATGTGCTATGGTGGCCAGTGAGAGGCTCCTTGTCCTCTGCTGTCCACCCTGGGGACAGGCTTGGCGGTGGTGCTGCTGGCTGAGGCTGCACACTCTCTCGCGAGAGCCGTGTGGAGCATTTCCTGGGCATAGCCGTGGGTGAGGCCTGAAGGAGAGGAGGTGGGCCCTGCGTCCCTGCTGTGCCCACTCACATCCTGGCTGGGACCTGGCTGCGGCTCCTGTGACCCACTGGCTGACCCAGGGCAGTTCTGCTCCACCCCCGAGGCCCCCAGGGTCCTGAGGAGTGACCTGGGCACGGCTGGGGGGAGCCTGGCACACTCAGGGCACCTGGCACCGACCTGGCGGGTGAAGGAGCCAGCCTGGGTTTTGAAACGGTAGGAATTCTCCAAAAAGAGGCTCAGTTGTCCAATTTGGTTTTGTTTCTGTGGTGGAGGGGCTTGAGCCCAGGGGCTCCCCAAGCCGTACTCCAGCCCTTTTTACAATCTTGAGACAGACTCTCACTAGTTTCCTCAGACAGTACTCAAATTTTCCCCCTTCTGCCTCAGCCTCCCGGGTGCTGAGATCACAGGCACGCGCCATGCCCCCCCAGCAGGGCTGAGTGTGTCAGGTTGGAGTGAAAGGAAGGGTACCAGGGCAGTGATTGTCAAGTAACACCTTTTCTCTTAAAAATGCCCTATGTGGGTAAAACACATTAAAACTAGTAACTCATTCACTGAGACCCACCTTGTATGTTTAAATATTTAACTGATGCCCAGTGCCAGGTTGAACTGTGGACCGATTCTGCAGGGCCGCTATGGTCTTGCTGGTTTGGTGTCAATCCCTCCTGCTCTCTCGAGCTTGGTGACCCTGAGGAGTCCCTGGTCTTAGGAGAGGAGCTGCAGGGCGAGTGCCCAAAGGTGGCGCACGGGGCCCTGATGGCCAGGGAAACTGCGTCCTGGGGCCCTGGGTACTGCTTGCTGGCCCTGTGGCAATAGTCCCCTCCCTTGTCCCCAGTTCTGAAATCTACAACGCTTGGAAAAGCAGATGCTTTTGAGTGACTTCCTTGGCATGAGGCTCGAGTGAGACTGTTCATGACTTTAATTTCCTCACTGTAAGTCATGCAGGCCAGGAGTGGTGGTGCATGCCTAGAATCCCAGCACCCTGGAGGCCGAGGCAGGAGGATCACGAGTTCGAAGCCAGCCTAGGCTACATAGTGAGTTTGAGGCCAGCCTGCAATGCATAGTGAGACCCTGTCTGAAAAAAAGCAAAGGAAGAAGAGGAAAAAGGGGAAGAGGAAGAGGAAGGAGGAGGAGGAGAAAGAGAAGAAAAACAAATTCATATAATTTGTGCGGGAACTATTAATGTCCACTTTCGGGGGCTGTGCCGGACCCCACAGGAATGTTACCTGCACAGTGGTTCCTTTCTAAGCCCCGCCAATCCTGGATTCCAAAGCACAGGTGGTCCCGGAGACTCACAGGAGGAAGGGGTGTGGACGAGTGTACTCCTCTCAGTGCTCACGGCAGCTCTGCAGAGGGACCCAGATCGCAGGCACAGCCATCCCAACCTCGGCCCTTCTGGCCTGACGCCCCGCTCTTTCCCGCTGCATGGGGTGGGGAGGATGAGCTGCCTAAGGGTCTCACACTTTACTCCACAGTGTGGAAAAGTACCTGACACTGGCACAAGGGTCAGCCTGTGGGAGGGGGCTGGGAAGCTGTGCCGGGCCCTTCGGAGTTTGCCATCAGGTATGGCGGCAGGGACATGCGCAGGGAGGCCACGGGCAGGGTAGGGTGTCGTGGGGTTTCAGCACTGTAGCACAGGCTGCACTCCGCTTTAAAGTCCCTGGCACTGTCACATTGATAGAAGCCATGGTGGCGGGCTAGGTGGGGAATGTGGAGGTCACCAGCAGCAAAGCCCAAAGGGGCCAAAGCGTAGAGGACTTCCGCCAAGGCCAGGGAGCAGTGGAATTGAGTTTAGGGTGTAGAGGGCCCCAGGTAGAGAGGAAGCCCCAGCTGCTGCTGCCCCAGGCTTCTTCCGCCGTCTCCCACCCCAGGTCAAAGCCGGCTCCGTGAAGCAGGAGTTCGAGAAGCAGGATGAGCTGAAGCGCTCGGCCATGCGGGCGGTAGCGGCCCTGCTCACCATCCCCGAGGCGGGGCGGACCCCCATCATGGCCGACTTCGCCGCCCAGATCCACTCCAGCCCCGAGCTCGCCGCCCTCTTCGAGAGCATCCAGAAGGACCCTGCTTCGGCGCCCGGAGCGGAGCCCATGGAGCTCAGCTAGTCCACCCGGCGCCTGGCCACCAAGCCCCAGGCCCAACCTCCATCTGGCTGGGGACCCGGGCTCAGGGACCCCCGGCCTGGGCTGCCCCCTAACTCAGGGTAGTCACTGAATTCCGGTCACACGGTCAGGCCTCCATAGCCACTTTGGTGCCCTCTAAGAGGGCAGCCCTGCCCAGCACAGCGCTCAGGCAGAGGCTGCTCACACGGAGGCAGTGGTCTGGAGCCCGGCTCCCGCTCCAGCACGGATCAGTCTAGAGTTGCAGTGTTGTGACTGGCGGCAGTGGATCCGCCCCTCAAAGGCATGGAGACATTTCCTACCGGAGGATGGAGACAGGGCGGGGCCGGCCGAGTGTATCATCTCCAACTTCAAAATACGAAATAGCACATTGTGGTTTCAAATGTGCAATTCCTAGTTTTTAGTATTTAAGACAAACGACAGGTTCAAGTATTTCGTGTGATACTCAAGACGAATAAAGAAAATTCTGTTGTTACCGTGTTCTCTACACAATTTCTCAGGCCAGTATTTATCCTCCAAGTGAGACTCATTTCACAGACGTCACCCGCATGCAACACCAGAAGGGCGACCAGTGCGCCCCCGCCCTGGGGTGAGGAGGCCAGGAGGGGAAGCATCTCCCAGCCTGGCTCCTCACTCCACTCCCTGGGCCTGAGTGGAATCCTCACCTCAGCTAAACAGATGCCGAATCCTGATGGTAGTGAGGGTTAGTTACCATAGCGCCATCCTGAGTTCCGAGTTCTAAGAGGCCCAACCCCCACCATCTCATGTTTGGTCTTTTAAGACAGGGTCTCACCGTGTAGCGGAGGCTGGCCTTGAAATAGGTGGTCCTTCAGTCAGTGACCCCTCTGCCTCGGCCTCCCGAACACGGGATACAGGCCTGCGCCACCACAGCTGGTAAAAGCTTTTTTTATGGTGTCTCATGTATTTCTGCACAGGAGTTAAGGGCACTGTTTTTGGCATTCTGTAGGAACGTTAAGGAGGAGCTACACAAATTCACACACTTCCCAGTCCACCCAGGAGCCCACTGGCAGTTACCAGCAGGGCGGCTGAAAGTGACCCTTTGTCACGTCCCCTCTTCCTCGCCCCAGTGCTGGTGGGACATCTGAGGCCATTTCCTATGCGAGGACCACGTTCTTTGCAAATCCTTCACATGGAAGACGCCATGGAGGCACCAGGCGGCACTCTCCTGACAAACTCACAGACACCGGCAGTTACTGCCAGGGGAAGAGAGAACACACCAGGGGGCAGTTTTTGTGGTTTTATTTAAGCACAAGTAAACATGCACACGAGCTGTCTACTCGTTTTCTTCGCTGCGCAGCCTGGCGTTGGGGTTGGTGACTCGGATGGCGAGCTGGGCCGCTCTTTCCACGATGGCCTTGCGGTTCTTAGAGGAGACGTTGTGAGCAATCTCTGCGCAGTAAGACCTGGAAGAGAAGTGGCAGGTGGTGAGGAGCCACCAGCACTGGGCACGCCGGGGAGGCCACTGCTTCAGTCCCTCTGCCCCAGGCCCAAGCAGAGGGCGCGTGTGCGGGAGCCTCGCCAGAGCCCTCCCATTCACCCTGCTGCAGCAGGCAGGCCGCAGGGGGGCCCCATTTCACAGGCAAGGAAAACAAGGAATCTCTGAGTCGTGGTGAGGAGTGGCCTGGCCCAGGTCTCCCTCAGGCCTCCTGGGAGCCAGCCCAGTGAGGGCCCCATGGTCCTGGTGTGAGGCCCTGACCAATGCACTTGCAACTCAGTAATGACTGAGAGCCCGACAGTTCAGGGCCCCGATGACTGCAGTGGACACAACTCTCACAGACGGAGGACACGGAAGCCACCAGCCCCAGCACGAGGACGAGGCGACAACAGGGCAGACAGAGTCGCTCCACTGGGTGGCAGCCCAGCCATGACAGAGCAGGCCCACGAGGGAAATGAGGCAGCAGCACGCAGCTCTCCCAGGGCTCTGGGACCTGGACTGGCACAGCGAGACATTAACAGACGAGGGTTTCTGTCTGACACTGAAGAGCCCACTGGGGTCCACAGAAAAGATGCCTTAGGTGTCCTGTGTTGTCCTTTTTCTTTTGCAATCCTGGGAACAGGACCCAGGAAGCACCGAACTACATCCCTAGCCCCTTTCAATTTTTTGAGATAGAATTTTTATTTTTTTATTGGTTTTTCTCCAGTACCGGGAACCGAACTCACGACCTTGTGCTTGCCAGGCAGGCGCTTTGCCGCTGAGCTAAATCCCCAGCCCTAGAATTTTTATTAATTGTCCAGGCTGGGTTGGAACTTGTGATCCTTCTGCTTCAGCCTCCTAAGTGGCTGGGATTACAGGTATGTGCCACCACTCAGCCTCTGCTTGCTTGCATTCCCTCTTTTTTCTTTTTGAGACAGGGCTTTGCTATGCTATGCAACTCAGGCTGGCCTGGAACTCACAGCGATCCTCCTGCCTCAGCCTCCTGAGTGCCACCACACCCAGCTAGCCGTTATTTTCAAGACATGCTGCATTACATGTTCCATTTCCCTAAAATGTGCATGTCCTTATCCACCAAAACATTTAATGATTACCACGCCTATCATTTCAAATGTGTAGGGTGACAGGTGTAGTGGCACAGGTGCATAATCCCAGCACTCAGAAATCTATGAATTCAAGGCCAGCCTGGGCTACACATTGAGTTCAAGTCCAGCCTACACTACATGGTGCGACACTCTCAAAAATATAAAAATAAACGCGTAGGGCCTTTTCCACACTACTGCACGAATCATTTGGGATGAATGTGTACCAGTCCATCCTAACACACTACAACTTGCTAAGGATGCTTTCAGCTGTTTTCCAACTGGTTATCGCTGCCACAGCTGCCTTACAAAATTTCCTGTTGGGGCTGGTGGCACATGGCCACAATCTCAGCACTCTAGGAGGCTGAGGCAGGAGAATCACAAGTTCCAGCTCAGTCTAGCCAACTTAGTAAAAAACCTGTCTCAAAATTAAAAGGGACTCATGCTCTAGTGCGTACCAGAAAAAATACCGTTTCCCTGCTTTTTGGTTACTCAGGATAAATGCCTCAAAACAGGATATATGCGTAAAAAGATCGTAAGAGTATTTCCACGGATCTTGATAAATATCACCAAACTGTTCTAATACATGTAATGTACAAAACACCAGCCTTCCTGTCACACAACAGGTACCGAGGTATATGTCTCACAACCCAGCCAGCAACCTGTCACCACCAATCCCTGTGTTCCTCTTTCCCAAAGAAACACCTGGCTCTCAATGCCTGGTTACGACCACCCAGGAGATGCAACCGACCCAGGCAGACCGCTGTGCCCTCGCACAAACACAAGCACGGGCGCCACTCCCCGAGCCCTGCCTCACTAAGACAATGAAACCCCATGGCTTCTTCCAGGTCGGGAAGAAAATCAACTGCACTCTGCTAACCTCAGCACCACTCCTGACACCCAGATTCCAGGTGTCAAGGTCACCCCCAGGACAAAACCAGGTCATTTCCCAGGCTGGTTTCGAGCCAAGCCCCGTAACAAGCTCACCAGCACCAACCTTTGCTCAAAGCACCCCATGGGCTTCCCCATCTCTACTCTGTGGCCACAGCCGACCCCCACCTCCTCTCCAGGCGCTCTGAAGCCCTCGCCCTCAGCTGGCAGCCCCCTGTCCCAGCAGCAAGTGTCCCGTAGGTGTGAGGCTTGTGCCCTCAAGCAAATAAAGCATCCCTGAACCTGAACTCCCTCCCAAGCATCATCTAAGCTGGGCAAGGACCCCTCCCCAAGGGCCCAGGAATAAGCACCCCTCCGAGTGCTCACGGCTGGACCAACTCACTTGTTGCACATCAGCAGCACCTCCAGCTCCTTAACATTGTGCACCAGGAACTTGCGGAAGCCACTGGGCAGCATGTGCTTTGTCTTCTTGTTGCTTCCATAGCCTATGTTGGGCATCAAGATCTGGCCCTTGAACCTTCTCCGCACCCTGTTGTCGATGCCTCTGGGTTTCCGCCAGTTGCGCTGCAAAACACAGCACATGAGCTGGTCAGCCTCTGTGCAAGAGGCCAGCTCCGCACTCAAGTACTGTCCCTGGGTGACAGGACCTCTACTTTACAGGTAGAAAAAATAAGAATGGCAAATAAAAGCCACCTGAGTAGAACAGATCTGGGTGGAGGAGAAGGGCTGTGCATGTGCTGAGATAAAAAGCCCTTCAGACAGTGGTGCCCTATGGGGCGCCCGTGGAGTCCACCTTCCCGCGGAGCCCTCCTGCCACCCACAGGCCGGCTCTGTCTACCACGGTGTTAGAAGCCCTGCAGGAGTACCTTGATTTTGACATATCGGTCTGACTGGTGCCGGATGAACTTCTTGGTCCTCTTTTTGACGATCTTGGGCTTCACGAGGGGTCTGAGGGCCGCCATGGTGCCTTTAAGGAGAGGGCAGATCCCAGTTACAGGAGGATCTGGGACGGGGGGACTTCTGGCCAGGGCCGAGGGCTGTTGCAGAGTGTCTTCCAGTCACCAGCTACTGGACAAGCTGGGAATGGAATGGGTGCCCTGCCGGGTTGCTCTCCCTCCTGTTTCCGAAGCTGGCAGAACACTGGCCACTCTCCAGACGCGATCCCAGGAGGTCACGGGTCTCTCGGCCCAGAAACCAGAAAGAAAACCAACAGCGGCCGGCCACGATGGCCCACGCATGCCTGTAATCCCAGCACCGGGGAGGCTGAGGCTGGATACTGCAGTTTGAGGTCAGTCTGGCCCACAGTGATTTCAAGCCCAAAGCCTGGATTACACAGCGAGGCCCTATCTCAAAAAGAGCTGGGAAAAAAAACAAACAAACAAACAAACAAAAAAAACCCGAACAGCTGACACAAACCAAAACTGCCCCCAAGACCTTCTAGCTCGTATCGGGCGGTAAATCCCACCCCAGTAAGCGTCCCAATCTCTCCTTTTAGTGCCAAGTCTCAATGCTCTCACCTGCGAAATGGACATGACAGGGAACACAAATGATGCAGCGCCAGGCACAAAGTCAATAACGCCCAACCTGGATTCTCTGTGCGGCGGGCTGCCGGGCAGTGCCCTCATGCGCACAAAACCCCAAACGCCTCGCCGTGAACACGGCTCCGCCCGGAGGCCCCCCCGGAACGGATCCATCCCCGCCGCCCCGACGGAGTGCTCGGCAGCGGACCGCCTGGGCCGGCACCACGACCCCCGAGGGCAACACCCGAGCCAGTGCAGGGGTTTCTGCCGACATCCAATCAGGCCACCAATTTAGGGAACAAGTTTGCGCGACAGCCCACGCGGAGGATGCCGGCGAGCCGGGAACTTGCAGGTCTCATCTGCGGCCTCAAGCCAGGTACCTCTGATCTCTTGCCGGAAGGTTCGCGCCCCGGCCATCTGACCTCAACTAGCACGAATCGAAAGGACTCCAACTCGCCATCCTCTGCTGTGCTGACCCCACGCGGCCTCCGTATGCGGGAAGAATCCCGGACGCGAAACCCCATCACGGCTCGAAGCCGCTGCGCCCACACGTCCTAGCAGGCCGCCGCCGCCGATACCCAAGAAGCCGGGTACCCTGGACGGAGGCCTTCTTACGCGGGAGGTGGGGGGGCCCACAAGGAGCCAGCAGAAGCGCAGATGGCCCACGATTGACACTCACCGAGTCGGAGATGGCTGCCACCTCCGTAGGCAGCGCCGAGGAAGAGAGGGGAGGGTGACGCGCATGGGCTGATGGGACTAACCTACGGGTCCTGGCAGGGAAAAGACGAACGCTTCCGTCTCTGAATCCTTCAAAGAAAAAAGTCCTGTTAGAGAAATAATGCTGCAAAAAGTCCCCAGCATGCCTGTATTTTATTAGACACTAATATGTAAGAATAGAACTAAAGATGTACCTAACCTTGCCTTGGACCTACGCAAAAGGGTTGCTTCCAAATCTGGAAGGTTTTTTTTGAGATAAGACCTGGGGAGCAGAACCTACTTCCGCCCAAAGTGGAAGCCCATTTGTTTTTAGACTGTTTCCTCCGCGTTTCTTCTCCTCCAGGTGCGCCCCCTGTAGGTTAGGAGGGAGCAAAACAGAGATCTCCTAATACAGTAACTCCTTGGGAATTTGCAGTCCTACCTGCTACTGTAAAGGGTTGGTTCCAGGGCTACCAAACTCCCTGGATGCTCCCGTCCCTTATATAAAATGGTGGAGCATTGCATAGAACCTACCCAACCTCTCCTACACACTATAAATAACCTCTAGGTTACTCGGGATAAATGCTGGGGAAATCCCTGCAGCTCAGGGAATCATGACGAAAGTCTGCACATGTTCAGAACAGATGCGATTTTTTTCCTAACGTTTTCTTATCCACGGTTCATTGAACCTGTGGATGCAGATGTGGAATTTTCAGGCACGGAGGGATAACTGTCTGAATAGCAGTGAGACCAGAACAGCAGACATTCCACGGGATTTTAGAACCTTACCACAATTCTTCAAGGTAGCCCTCTACTTCTCTTCCTCCTTCTTTTTTTTCCTTTTTTGGGGGCGTTACTGAGGATTAAAACCAGGGCCTCTGAATTTAGCTACATCTCCTTTTTTGTAGTATTTTATTTTGAGGCAGGGTGTGGGTAAATCACTAAGTTGCCAAGGTTGAGCTGGAACTTGCAATCCTCCTGCCTCAGCCTCCAAGAATGCTGAGATTACAGGTGTGTGCCACTACACCTGGTTTATTTTCTTCATTTGACATATGTGGAAAGTGAAGTTTTGCCGAGCGTGGTGGCACACACCTGTAATCCCAGCACTTGAGAGGCTGAGGCAGGAGGATCATTGTGAGTTCAAGGCCAGCCTGAGCTACAAAGTGAGTTCAAAACTAGCCTAAACTGCATAATGAGACCCTGTCTGAAAAATCAAACAAGCAAACAAAAAAAAGAAAGTAAAGTTTGAAGATTTGACACCCCCCCCAAAAAAAAACCCACACTGACTACACATTTCTAACCATCCAGCTAAACTACCTAGTTTTAAAATTGTTGTTCTTGACTTGTTTGGCTTAGCTTTTGTTTTAAAAATTGTTTTGAAGCCAGGCCTGGCAGTGCACACATGTCATCCCAGCACTGGGGAGGCTGAGGCAGGAGGATTGCCATGAGTTAGGGGCAAGCCTGGGCTACATAGTGAGTTCAGGGGCTGGGAATTTAGCTCAGTGGCACAGCGCCTGCCTGGCAAGTGCAACATCATGAGTTCGATTCCCAGTACGGGAAGAAAAAAACAAAAAAGCAAAAAACAAAACAAAAAAAAACATACTGAGTCCAAAAAAAAATCATTTTAAAATTCCAGGAGGAAACAAAACAAAACCCCTTGATTTCCCAACTCAAACACCATACAGATACCACTAGTGAGCCTTTTGTTGTTGATGGGTGTTTTGGACTTTTTTTTTTTACACAGGGTCTTTATATAGCCCAGGCTGGCCTCAAACTCACAACAATCTTGCCTCAGCCTCCTAAGTGCTGGGATTCCGGGTATGTGCCACCACACCCAACTCAGACCTAACTGCCTGTATCTGCCCTATACCTGGAGAGTAGTCTTGTCCTGGGACTGTGTGTTTTGTTTTGTTTTGTTTTTTTTTTGTTTGTTTTTCTCCGGTACCGGGAACCGAACTCACGACCTTGTGCTTGCCAGGCAGGCACTTTGCTGCTGAGCTAAATCCCCAGCCCCAAAGTTT